ATGCCAAAGAGGAAGAGCCTTACTGGCAGGGAAAAGCGCCAGGGTGATAAATTACGCAAAAGGGAGAAAAGGCAAAAACAGACCCTTCCCTCACCAGATGAGAAGCCACCAGATTCTGCTATCCCTTGTGGATCAGCAGATGGAGTTGTTATGGCTCCACCCGGTAATTTTCCGGGTCAAGGCTCTATAGGGTTGCCGCCTTTTGAGGAAAAACCCTTGGCCAGGTTGCAGGCCTCTCTTCGCGAGAAAATGCAACCAACTGCCCTGAGTAACGCATCTTCTCAGGGAAGTCGTCTGTGTGCCCGAAACGGAGGCATGGCACCGTCCCCTGACTCCCCACCGTGGGTTTGTACCTCACCGAGGGTACCTGAGCCGGACACCGTGCACGTGTCTGGCTCAGCAGGTCAGGCGCAGCTGGATATGTCATCCTCTAAGGGGGATGAGTCCAGCAGGAGATTGATTGATGCAAACTGGAGTAAAAGAACGAGATCTAAAAGGAATACTAAAAGGAATTTACATGATGAAAATGAGATTGAGAATATAGATAGTGTATATGAGAGAAATAAATCAGAATGCAGAATTGAAAGGCAATGTAGTGGTGAAGTGGATGATGTTGACAATGCTTGTAGTACTTCTGATGGACCAGTATCAATGTGTCAGGTATGTGTTCAAGGTTCTTTTCATCAGGGTGACTTAATGTTTGGTGAAAATGCGGGAACACAGTGTGTCGCAAACTCTTTGGCAGCATTAGCATATCATAAACTAAAGAACACCACACAATGGCAAACTTCAGACATGAATAAAGTATTAACAATGGGTGATGAGCTTTATACATACTTGCAGCGTTGTTCAACCATTGTTAGCAGATACTTGTTAGTTGACGAGCTACCTCAGTTTTTTGAATGTTTTAATGCTATGTTCCAATTCAAAGCACATGAATCCTTATGTAGCCTGATAAATTTGTCTGATATAGAACCAAACTATGATGATTTTAATGCATATTCACTGTCAGATGCATTGCAAATTTCTTTGGAAGGAACAAGTGGATGTTTTGTGTGTTTCATGGGAAATACATTTTTGGTTGGAAAAACTGCAGATGGTTTCTTTACATTTGATTCACACTCAAGGTCACCATTAGGATATATGAGTGTAAATGGAAGGAGTACAAGAGTACTCTATCATTCAGTTCATGATATTTTCAACCACATTTTGTCATTAGCAATGTCAATGGGATTTTCAGGAATTACTGAATGTGAAATAACTGGTGTTGATTTGTCAGTGAGTCAGGTTTCATCTACTGATGAGCATGATGTTGAAATCGAGCAAATAGAAATTACACAGGAAATGGGAGACTCTAAAGGGGCTTTTCAAGAAAACACAAACATTTTGCTTAAAAGTACTCCGTCAGTTGCAGATGATGATTGTGAAATTATTTGCAGTGAAAGAAGTGATATTAGTTTTTTGCCTCTTTCATTCAGTAAAAAAGTACACCTTTGTCAGATTATTGGAATACCGCATTCAAATGGAATTGACAATGATGAACAGGTTTGTCTTGTGCAAAAAGTGGGTGCACCTGTCAAGTGTGTTGAAATTGTAGGGGATGGAAACTGTTTTTTTAGAGCTGTTTCATTTTGTTTGACTGGAGTGGAAGATTATCATTACACAATACGATCAGCAGTATGTCAACATCTTCTGCACAACAGTATATTGTTTGAATCCTTTGTAAGATGTGCAGAAAGATCTGTAGAAAATCATTTGGCATTAACAGACATGACAAACGATGGTACATGGGCAACTGAACTAGAAATTTTTGGACTCTGTCATCTCTTGAATATTGATGTCCATACATATACAGAGAATCATTGGGTTACATATTCAAGACAAATGATACAAACTACAACAAATGATGAATTCATTGGATCAATTTATTTAGATCATAAGAATCGGAATCATTATAATGTAGTGGTGACCGTGGCTGAAAAAAACTCAGATGATTACATGAAAACACATTCCCTATTGTACCGAAAGAGGCATGGAAATCGAAACCGCATGAGGCAAGTACGCATTTCATCCCTAAAAAAATCTAGAATAAATCTTGAAATGAAAGCAAGGAATTTGAATCGCATGAGAAAGAAGTTGAGAGCAGCAAAAGTAAAGTACCAAACTAACCTCAACTTTAAATTAAAGGCAATAGCAAATGGGAAAAAAAGGTATAGAAAAGATGAAATTTACAAAGCAAAGGCAAAACAGAGAAGTGTGGAAAAATATAGTTTAAATGTATTGCATAGAAGAAACATTAAACAAAGAAATCAAGAAAAGTACAAAAATGATGAAATACACAGACAGAATTTGAAAAAAAGAAGCACAGAAAAGTACAAGAAAGATGAAGTACACAGATTGAATGTGAAACAAAGAAGTACAGAGAGGTATAAAAATGATGAAGTACACAGATTGAATATGAAACAAAGAAGTACAGAGAGGTACAAAAAGGATGAAGTACACAAATTGAATGTGAAACAAAGAAGTATAGAGAAGTATAAGCAAGATGAAGATCATCAACATAAGGTTAAGAATGCGAATAAACTAAAGTATCATGCAAATGCTGATGAGAAAAAGAAGAAGAAGGAGGGTGTCTTTAATCAGAGACGGGCTCTAAAAGTTAAGCTTGAAGATGAAGATGAAGTTGTGAAACTGTTCAAGGAGAGCATAGGAAATGGCCCAGAATACACATGCTGCTGTTGTCATAGATTGTTGTTTGAACACCAAGTCCAAAGATGTTCACTTGAAATGTACAAAGGAAGACAAAAAGCATATGAAATTGCACAGACCTGCATACAGAAAAAATATTATCATGAGTGTACACCATCTTGTCCAAAGCATTGCCCAAAGTCGTCTTTGTGGATATGTTTTACCTGTCATAGAAAAATATTAAGTGGTAATATTCCAGCAGAGGCGGCTGCTAATAAAATGTCATTGGAGGAAATCCCATGTGAACTTGAGAATTTAAACAGTTTGGAACAGCATTTAATTGCTTTACATATTCCCTTTATGAAAGTGATGGCTCTTCCACAAGGTGGTCAAAGAAATGTACATGGCCCTGTTGTATGTGTGCCATCAAATATTCAAAAGACAACAAGTTTACCGAGAAATCAGGACGATAATTTATTGTTAAGAGTTAAGCTTAAACGAAAGCTAGCTTACAAGGGCTACTTTGAATACCAGTTTGTTAATCCAAATCACATAAAGGTTGCCCTTGATTATCTAAAGAAGGAGAACAAATGGTATAAGGATGTAGTGATCAATAGTACATGGGAAGGAAATAGTGACAACAGCGACTTGTTACCGAATGAGTTGAATGAATTAGTTGATGATCAAGAGGAACTGAAAGAAGAAGAAAGCCATTATATTCAAGAGGTTGTCACTGACACCTGCTTACAGCCTGTTGATGTTGCACAAGAAGTTCTTGATCATTACTTTGACGATATTTACCATATAGCACCAGGTGAAGGGAAAAATCCAATCCGAATGTTACAAGAAGAGGGAAACGAAGCAAAGACATTTCCACATTTATTTCCAAGTGGCAATTTTTCATGGAATGAGGATCGAGATGTGAAAATTAGTCTATCAAGATATTTTAACATCAGACTTATGAATGCTGATAACAGATTTGCTAAGGACACAAATTACATATTCTTTTCTCAATACATGTCAGAATTGAACCAAGTTATTGAGAAAACACAAATTTCAATTCGAAAGTCTTTATCAAGGCTTGATAATCGAAAAGCAGTTACATCTGAAATGTTACAGAATCCAGATGTTCTTTCTAAACTCTTCAAGAATGATGAAGCTTTACGCTTTATGCAACCTATTCGAGGAACACCTGCATATTGGTCGGCTACTCAGAAAGATTTGTTTGCTATGCTTCGACAGTTAGGTATCCCAACATGGTTTTGTTCATTTTCTGCAGCTGAGTTCAGGTGGAACGAAATTATTGGGTCAATATTGCATCATGAAAATGATTCTAGATCCCCATCTGATTTAGACTGGTCAGAAAAAAGTGAAATTTTGAGAAGCAATCCAGTCACTGTTGCCAGAATGTTTGAATATAGGTTCCATATGTTTCAAACAAATGTTATACTGTCTCCATCAAAGCCAATAGGGAATGTTATTGATTATTTTGTGAGAGTAGAATTTCAACAAAGAGGTTCTCCACATATGCACTGCTTGTATTGGATCGAAAATGCACCGAAATTTGACGAAGACAAAGAGGAGGTTGTTTGTGATTTTATTGATAGCTATATCACATGTGCAGTGCCATCTGAAAATGAAGATCCAGAACTTAGAAGAATTGTTTTAGATGTTCAACAACATAGCAAAAGTCACTCAAAATCATGTAGGAAAAAGGGAACAGATTGTAGATTCCATTTTCCAAGACCACCCTCAGAAAGAACATTTATTACTAAGCAATGTGAAAATGTTGAGGATGACTCGGAGAATAAAAGAGGGTTGTGTAAATCTCAGGCTGAAGATATTTTATTGCGTGTTTGGAATGAGGTTCTAGATGATGTGAATGGATGCAAAACAACACAGGAAATATTTTCTGAAATGAAATTATCACAAGATGTTTATGAACTTGCACATCAGGCGCTATCTGCGAAAACAAGTACTATCTTGAAACGAAATCCAGATGAAATGTGGACAAACCAATACAACTCGTGTCTTCTAAAATGCTGGGATGCCAATATGGACATACAATACATCCTTGACCCATTTAGCTGCATTGTTTACATTATTTCATATATTTCAAAATCAGAACGCGAAATGGGAATGCTATTGAAACAAACTCAAGTAGAATCAGCAGAGGGAAATTTAAGTGCTCGTCAAACGATAAGGAAAATTGGATCAGCTTATCTTAATCATAGAGAAGTAAGTGCCCAAGAAGCAGTGTACAGAGTTTGCAATCTCAAAATGAAAGAGGGTTCAAGAAAAGTAGTGTTTGTCCCAGTTGGTGAAAATCCGACTCGATTAAGTAAACCCCTTTCACAAATGAAAAGAACACATAAGAATGGAAATGATATGGAAGATGATGATGATGACAGTATTTGGATGACAAATATTGTGGAGAGATATGAAAATCGTCCTGATCTAAATCCTTTTCCTGAAATGTGCCTTGCAGAATTTTGCTCTCAGTATCGTGTTCTTGCGAAATCCCAGATTCCCAAGGTTGAAAAAGAAGGTGTTTTTGAATTGAAAAATGGAAATGGTTACATTCAAAAAAGAACAAGAGCCAAACCAGCTGTAGTAAGATATCAGAGATTCAACCCTGAAAATGCATCAGAGAAGTATTTTCAATCAATCCTACAACTTTTCCTTGCTTATAGGACACAAGACCAACTGAAACCGCCAGGATTTGACTTATATCAGACTTTTTATGAAAATGGGTTTGTCAGAATGAGACCTGAAAATGAATTGGAATCTGTCAGAAGTGTGGTTGAAAAAAATCGTTGTTGTTTCTCAAAGAATGAGGATGCTTTACAAAATGCTCAAGAAACTTTAGAAGTTTACGGTGAACCTGAAGATGCCTGGGCAAATCTTTGTCCTGAAAGTGAAAGGAATCGGGAAGAATGTGTGAAAGAAAAAAGGACAAGAGAACAATTAGATAATAAAGAACCAGAAATCACACATGAAGTGGAATGGAACAGCCCTTCGGACTTGATATATCATATAAGGGAAACCTCTAACTCGAGGCAGGAAGTCCTTCCTTTGTTGCGGTGTTTAAATGAAAAACAAAAGCAGATTTTTTACTTAGTTCGTGAATGGTGTTTGAAAAAAGTTGATGGGAGGAAAATTGAGCCATTACATATTTTTGTTACTGGAGGTGCAGGGACAGGAAAAAGCCACCTGATCAAGACTATACAGTATGAGGCTTCTAGAGTGTTTGAAAAAACTGTTTTGACTCCATCGGATTTGACTGTTCTTCTCACAGCTTTTACTGGAACGGCAGCTTTCAATATTGGGGGAAACACAATTCACCACGTATTTTCTTTAACTAAAGCTCTTCCCATTCCATACGAACCTCTGAAAGAACAAAGTTTAAGTGCAATGAGAGCAAGGTTGGCTTCTTTGCAGATTTTGGTCATTGATGAAGTATCAATGGTTTACAAGCGACTTCTATACTACATTCACGAACGTCTGGTGCAAATCAAGAAATGTAAGGAACCCTTTGGTGGTATTTCGGTCATAGCTGTTGGTGATTTTTACCAACTGCCTCCTGTGAAGCAACGAAAAGTGGAAATATTGTACAAAGAAAATGATGAATATCCCATAGACTACTGGTTAGACTTTTTCAAAATTGTTGAGTTGAAGGAAATAATGAGACAACGTGAAGATGCAGCATTTGCTGGGGTATTGAATTCACTAAGGATTAGAACAAAAGAAGAACCGCTATCAGAAGATGTTAAAACAATGTTAAAAGAATGCATTAGAGATGGTCCAGATGATGTACTGCATGTGTATCCTACAAATGACGAAGCAAATGAATATAATTTGAAGATGTTGCGAACAAACTGTGGAGAATTAATAGAGATTGCAGCTGAAGATTATCAAAAAGACAACACAACAGGAAAGCTGACTTTACGTGAGAAACCATTCATAAGAACAAGAACAGATGGTCTCTCTGCTTCTTTGCTGTTTTCTGTGAATGCTAGAGTGATGTTGACAAGAAATATTAATGTTGAAGATGGACTTGTAAATGGAGCAATGGGATATATTTCAGCTTTTGAATTGGGAATGAATGAGAAAAGAAATAGGGTACAAGGAATTAGAATGATTTTTGATAGTGAAGAGATTGGAAAATTGCAAGGAAAAAAGACAACACATGGAAATGAGGTATTGATTCAAAGAATACAAGAAGATATCAAAGAAAAAAATGCAAAAAATGTTGTACGACACCAGTTCCCTTTGAAACTTGCGTGGGCATGTACAGCACATAAAGTTCAAGGCATGACGACAAGCAGTGTTGTTGTAAATTTAGATCGTACTTTTGCCCCAGGACAGGCATATGTTGCAATTAGCCGTGTGACTTCACAAAATGGTTTATTCATAGAAACAAAAGATGAAAACGAATTGCCCAAAAAAATTTACGCTAATCCAGATGTAAAATCAGCACTGGAAAAAATGGTGAAATTAATCCCTGAACATAATTCTCTGAACTTGTACGCTGAAAATGGAAAGTTCAAAACAATTGTTTTACTCAATGTACAGAGTTTGAGAGGACATTTACTAGACCTGAAAAGTGATACAAGATTTCTCCACGCAGACTTGATATGTGTAACAGAAACATGGTTGACAGACAATGACAATAGCAAAAACTTTGAAATTCATGACTTTGAATTCAGCCATATCACAAGAAAGCAGTCTTATGATGAAAGTATGGACAATTTTGCTAAACTTCGAACAGCAAAAGGAGGAGGTGTTGGTATTTACAAGAAGAGAAAGGAAAAAGCTATAGTTCATGTTTTGCCTCAAAAAAATATTGAGGGAATGGCATTGGAACTTTCTGAGGAGAAAACTGTTGTCATCATTCTTTACCGACCGAGTACTCTCAATGTCAGATATTTTCTGGATAGTCTTCAGAAGGTTGTGGATTATTTTAAAGTACTGTATTCCCAATGCCTTGTACTTGGAGATTTTAATGAAGATGCACAATTGAACGGACCAATTCAAAAAATGTTAGAGACAAATGGATTTAAGCAGATAGTTAACTTTGCAACAACAGAGGGTAATACCATACTAGATCACGTTTACATCACAGAGCAGATGGAAGCAAGTGTAGAGGGAATACCAGTTTATTACAGCTATCACGAAGCTATTAGAGTGTATTTTAAAACAAAATAGATGAAGCCTGTTTGTTTCATATTACACAAAAATTATTAACGAATTTCAAGATTCCATTTCTTTCAAATCACTTCCAGTGGCACGTGTCATACCTAATTGCTCTTCTTTGTAATGAATTATGTGTATAATCCTTGTTGGTTCTTTTTAGGATTATGTGGTCAAAATATCAATTTCCAATCTGTAAATTGATAATGACTTGAAACGGGTAGTGAATTTGAAATTATCTTTCAAAAATATGTTTGTCATGTTTATACCAATGCCTATCATTTTTAAAGTTCCATTGAAAACCGACCATGATTGTTTTTATAGAAATTAGAAATCAAATTTTCTTCCGGATTTTATTTATAATTGTATAAACTTCATACCAATGTCCACTATCTCTGAAAATTCCACTAAAAAGCCTAATAAGTCACTGATCAGTTTCTGAGATATCATTAGTGTACAAATGTTGGGAAAAAAACCCACAATCACTTGAAAATGTTGGTATTGCAACAAGACATTTCTGTTTATAGCTTAAGAGAAGTTTATTAAAAAATTATTATGTATAGTTTATTTAATATCTGAATGCATACATGTTTTTCAAAAGAAGAAAGACTTAAGGCCAACTTCAGAATATGTTTGTTTACCAAAAGAAGACATAAGTGATGAAAAAATAATATCTTCTCCAAATTCACTTCCACTGAGAGAGGTATTGACCAGTATTACAGAAGTTTATGTTGAACACCTATTCATCAATTTCTATAACGTTAATTTTTTCAAATGATCTCTGTTCATATCTATGAAACTTTTCAAGAAAATCAAATGCACAGAATTTTTAGAGAGATAATAATCAAATTCATGATAAGTAACAAGATAAGATGGCATTGATTGTCACTGATATTGTTGTACCTGTAGAATTACTTTCTTTTCTTATGCATTAGTTAATTTTGCAAATAAACTCCGAACACTGCAAAAAAGTTCATACATACTTAATTCTATAATATATTTCACATCTAGGTATGAGATAATGCCAGTGAACCATATTTAAAATTTCACTAACTATCAATGGTGCATTAATTAAACAGAAACTCATTTCTTTAAATTTTGTATTAATCTATGAAACTTGATGAATGAATAAATATTCAATCAAAATTGATTTAAGGTTCATTGATACTTTGATAAGAGAGATAACTCTAAATGACCAAAACATCTGTTATTATATTCCTTTAAAAAATTGTCATGTTGAAGTGTAATTTTTGTCCACTCTTCCGAACAAGTAATGCTATAATTGTTTATATTTTACTTTTAAAATGTGTTTATTCCGGAAAATCACACAAGTTAACGAAACATTTTATATGAGCATGATGAGTGAGCAGAGGGTTTATGAATCTAGAAGATACATATCACAAACACTTTTTTATCTCCCAAACAGAAGAGTGAAACTGGTATTTAATATAAAAGTTTTCTTGCTGCAAATTTTCTGGGGGACATTTTCAAGAGTTTCTTTTTACATTTTAAACATTTTAAATTTCTAAATTTCATTTCCATTGAAAGAAATATTGCACATTTTATAAACTTAAAACAATATTCAACTGCTAAATTGCATTTTTCCGATTTTAACCAAATTGTGTTGGCCAAAGTTAAAGCTCTTTAACTAAAAAGACATCAATTTTAAAATGACAGATGCATGCAGATATCTGAATTTTGGAAGAAAAATGTTTGTTTGAATTATTTATATCCTTAAAGGTATGATCTTTCTGTTTGTTTTACTGTATGTATTACTTTATTTAAAGATAGGCCTTTTTGGTATATTACACAATCTAAATAAATCATGTTTCAAAGATATCAAAAGTTTAAAACAATAACTGATTTATTTAGCTAATCCAAAAAATCATAGAGATATGAATAGCAAAGTTTAAAATGATTTAGCCTTAGGGGGTCAAAAAAGGGTCAATAAATGATGTTTTTATGTAAAAAGCCCCTGGTTCCCTGGATTGTGTTTACATTTTACACAGTGGTCTACTCATCTTTTGGGATAGTTTTTTTTTTTTTGAAAATTTAAGGTAAAACAATGTCAAGGGGTAAAAATTCATAGCATGCTGAGAAACATCTTGTTATAAGTAATGTACATGTCAAATGTGACAGTCATATCTCTTCTCAATCAAAAGTTTTAAGGAAATGCCAAATTTTTGAAAAGTAGGTTAAGTTTCTGGGTCAAGGTCACCAAGTCAAAAGTTGTGATACATTAGGAAAGGTCTTATCATGCATGTATAATAACTTTTCTCTTTCAAAATGATGAATTTAAAACAATTGAATTTTTTGAAAGTAGGTCAAATTTCAAGATCATGCCAAGTAAAAATAATAATGGTATATTTAGAATGGTATTGTCAAAGGTAAATACTAATAATTATGAAAGCATTCAAAAGATATTACCATGATGACCAAGGTTAAATTATTTGTGACAGATGGACAGACAGACATACAAATGAGATTTAATGTTCCCCACCTTTTGGGAAATTGGGGAACAATTAAATGTCCTTGCTGTTTTTGAAAAGAAGATTTATGATGGAAAAACTCCCCTGCATATTTCTAGTGTGAATTGGTTTAAATTTGCCAAATGGTTTTAGAGAAGAAGTAAAAAATGTAAAAAGTTTGCAGACAATCAGATTGTTGACAGATAAAATGTGATCAGGAAACCAGAAAAACTCAAATGAGCTAAAAACATATGATTCACAAGTATATGGAAAGGGTTACAGTATTTGAAAAGCTGGGGTTGTTTCATACAATTTTTTTGAGAAGCTGAAAATGTATCCATTGTTGAAAAAACTGCACATTTCAAAAAAGAATATGATTGAAAATAATTAATCATAGTGCTTTGAGTAGCAAAATAAAGCTAAGCTTTTATAGCTAATTTTTATTTTTAGGTTAACGAACATCAGAATGAAAAAGTCCTGTAGGAGGTCGAGGAAATAAAAAAAAAAATAAAATCATATTTCAGATACATTATCGACTTTTCTACATTAATTTTTGCTTCTTTTTTTATGCTCTCCTAACAGGCTCCTTGCCACTGGGCACATAAGGATTAAAAAAGGGGAAAATAGAACCTTTAATTGTTTATTTCATCATTTACCCGTTGGGGCAAGTGATATAAATCTTGTGATGTTGGACAAAATACAGATTTTTTTTTAAAAAATCAAGTTTTTAGAACTCTTTCAATACATCTTCATTTTTGTTTTTATATGTGTTAGGTGAACGTGTAGAAATTGTTCTAAAATATTAATAATCTTGAGACCTAAAATAATAATTCCTCTCATAAAACATTAAACAGACAGGGAGTATTGGGGAATAGGGTGGAATTTTTTCAATTAAGTGTAAAATAATTTAATTTTTCTGGCTGTCATAAACGATACTACATGCCTGTATATATTTGTATATACTTGTTTTTAAATAGTTGAAATATTTTATTTATTTGGGCCATTGTTTATTTCTTCCTCAAATGGACTTAACTTCTCCCTGAATCAGTGAATCTCCCATAGTTTTATTCATTACATCTGATGCTTAAAGCCATATATGGCGTATGCACAATGAAAATTATTAGACTAAAATTATAAGGACTTATTATTTGTATCATTACTTTATATAAAGATAGAACTTTTCCGTAAATTACAAAATCTAAGTCAATTGCGTTATAAAGATATCACAATCTAATTTGGATTCTCGGAATTTTCTCCGACTCGGAAGAAAATACAAAAGATTTAAATAACACATTACAGAGAATATAAAATCGAATTATTAGATGAAACGAGGTGTTCTCCGCGTTCAGAATTGTATGAAAAGCTTTAATTTATATGTTTTAACTATATTTCTTTACTTAATTTGTATTTTTTCAAAAATATAATTTTTGATCAGTTACGCCATATATGGCTTTAATAAGTGACCCTATTCTGAAGAATGATGCTAGGTCTAAGACTGTAAGCTATAAGTTACAGAAACCTAAACAATGTCTCTGGCAATTGCTACCATGGGCAGTTTTAAACCTGTGGGAGGAAAACAATTTACAACAGATACTTTTGAATACGGATACATAAATATCTCACCAACAAGTCATTGTGCAACAAAGTCGTCAGCATTGTATTTGTTCTCTGAACGGGTGAAACGTTTTGAATGGCACTCCTATCGATAAATATTTACATTAAACCAAGCTTTAGTGCTGCTATGGACTTTACAAATCTTCCTTCGTTGACCCGCCATGTTCATTAAAACCGGAAGTACGAGTTCGTAAATTTGAAATCTCGATCCCGACTCAAATTTTACATCGGAAAGAAAAAAAAATCTGTTTTTCTCAAGGATGTATTCGTTTTGACAAAAGAATTGACCTATAGGAGAGAATAATTTCCCGGGAAAAGTGACATTTAAAAACTAATCTTTATTTGTTGTTTTCTACCATATATTTGTCTAAATTTTTCAAATTCGTATTTAATACCTAAAATTAATTATTTACAATTTTACAATAAACCTCCAAAGTTGGTTGAAACACCATTTTGTCCGTTAAAGCGTTGATTTTTGCATGGATTTTGGCCTAGAAGTCCTTCAGGGCAGGCCTGCCCCTAAAAAAAATTGTGATATTTTGATAGGTTAGGATGTAAGAAATAATTTAAGATAGGATTTTTTAGGGCCACGCCTGCCCTAGGGTCGAAATTCACAAAAAACCTACAAAAAATAAGGAAATCTGATTTTGATAATCTGCTTCAAATTTATACCATTAAAACTTATAGTCAGACTAGCTCAGTTGATAAATGCGCTGGCTTTTAACACTATGGACGCCATCCTTTTAAAGTCGGGGTTCGAATCCACCTGGTACCACACATTAAAGTTTTAAATTTTCGCCTTTTAAAAGACTATTTTTTTTTTCAATTATCTATCCTTTATGCATGCCCATTCTTGATATTAGAAACTCTTAAGAGAGTTCAAATCGAAACAATCCAATGTACATGTACAGTTGTCAGTCAGGCGGAACAAAC